AGAAAAAAGAAGAGATACAAAGAGCAAGATATGTAGTAGTTGCTTTTGCAGATAATACAACCTGGATAGCAAGTACAAAAGAACAGCTTGAAAGAACAATTGAAATTGCAGAAGAATTCTTTAACTTTAATAATATCTAAATAAATCTTAGCAAGTCAAAACTAGTAACAATGAACACAAGAAAAAAACCTGTGGAAAGAAAAGTTATAGTAGAAAAGCAGGAGCATTACTCTACAAAAAAAAAAGAAGCAGTCAGGTTCTTGGGTATTTGGATAGGAAATAAGATTAGAAAAAAACAAATCATAGCAAAAGCAAAGCAAACAACAAGACTTTTCACTAATCTGATAAAAAAGAAACTAGTATCAGTAAGCCAAGTTTTGTATATAAATAATATTTGTTTAATTCCAAAACTAGAATATCTGCTATAACATATCTATTTAACAAAAGAAGAATATGAAAGAATTCAGTGTTCATATATAATAATAGCTAAAAACAAAATAGGCCTAGCTAGAACTATACCAAATTGCATTATATCTCATAGTGAAATCTTAAACATGAGAATGCTATAGAACATAATAAAAACAAAGCAAACATTAAGTTTAGTTAATAGACTAAATAGTAAAAATAATATCAGGAATATTATAGAAATAAGAATAAGATAAGGGCAAGGCCTTTTAGGATATACTAGCAATATATGAACAGAAAATATAGGTGAAGAAGAAATGAAGCTGCTCAAAAATAATTTAGTATGTTTAATTATTCAGAAAAACTTACTTAAACATAGAACTAGAAATACTAGCAAACAGAGAGATTTGGTCAACTAAAGTAGATAGAAGGCTAATTAAAGATTTGCTAAAGAAGAAAACTTTCATTAAAGTAGCTAAAACAATACAAGAAATGAAAGTAGTAGTACTAGAGCAGCTACTTAATATAGAAGGTACCTACTTAATGACATAGCTGAATTTTTTATTGGTATTGATAGTGAGTAAATGATATATATTGTGAGAGTACAACTAGCTACACATACAACTTTAGATTGTCTAATTTAAATAGTCCGCCCAAAGGTTCTACACTAGCTGCTATACCTGAAATCTGTTTGAAGATTACCTATTTAAACTCTCTGGCCCTATGACACTTACTCGTATTTTATCTTTATTTTACTAAATTCACCTAACCCTGTGCTACTTCTCATAGAAAACACTCAAGCTGACATTAGTTCACAAACTTTATAGTTCAGAGCCTAGACTCTATCACAAGGTGTCCTTTCACCAACTCCCTAACCGATGGGGTGCTATGATACTCAACTATGCTATGCTATATCCCAATCTAGCTTGTATATACCCTTATTTGATGTTTGTACAAACCCAGTTCCTACTGTGTCCTTCTATCAGATCAGTCCTCTATGTTTTCGAATGTTTCATGAGACAGATCCTCTCAATCTAGTTAGCCGCCAAGCCAGGTTGGTATTGCTATACGATCTTATATGACAGACTTACTCGCACCTGCTCAGTCACATCTTTTAACCACAAATTTCTTTCACTAGATCAGGTGTAAACTAGTATGACTATTGAAATCTGTACTACTTCACCTAACTCAGGATTTCTACTATGCAGGTCTCCTGTCTGTAGATCAGTATGCGTATATCATTCTGTGATTAACTACTGCTACACTAATATTTTCTTATCAAGATTTATTTGTGTGCGCATATCATCCTGTGATTAACTGCCGCCACACTACCAATATATGATTGATTTGATACAACTTAACTTACAGAGTTACAACTCCAGAAACAGACAAAGTTTACTATAAGTTAGGTATAAAGGTCTAAATAATTATTCAAATTTTGTCAACAGTAGGATTTGAACCCCAGACCTTTTGCATAGCAGTCTGGCAACCTAACCACTACACTAAGATCGCCAGACCTTTTACTATAAATATTATTAATTCTAGTTGTTTAAAAAAAAAATGCACTTCTATAAGGTACCTGTTGTGTTTTCTAATCTGTTTTATATGTTTTGCCCATTTATTACTTACTATTATATCTACTCCAGATCCTTTGTTTTTCTCTTCTTCTTTGTTAAACCAAAAACTATTTAAGCTACTTCTTTGTTTAACTATAAATTGCCCTTCTCTGCTCGTGATATTTGTTTTTACTATTCCTATAATATCATATTCATTCTTTTCTATTTTTTTAACTATCGCCTCTATTTTGTGTCTATTACTCTTTAACCTATTGATATTGTGAACTGCTATTTTAATTTCTCTTCTCATTTCTATTACCTCTAATTCTTTTTTAACTCCTATTGTTCTTTCTCCTTCTTGGTTTAAACTCTGTTTACCCTTATGTTGGCATATAAGTTTTTCTTCTTGTATGACTAGAGCCTTTTTTAATTCAACTAATATGACAAGTTAGGAGCAATTTGGAGCCTTTAGCTTCAAAAAGTTGAACTTTTCTTCTAATTTTTGGTTAAGTTGTATTATGTAGTTTAGAGGTGTATCTTTATTTAACCAGAAGTTTGATCTATCACTTCTTGAAATTATATTATATCTATTTCTCTTTCTAGGATTAGTTTTCTTTCTTTGTTCATAAGGATCTCCTTTTTTCTTGCTTATATTTCTTTTGCTTATACTGTATGTTTTCCATTCATTTTTTTGCATATTCTCTGGTAATAAGGTCTTTGCTTCTTTTTTGTCATCTTCTTTATATTTGTTTTCTGTTTTTACATATTTTGAGTACTTCTCTTCCTGTTCTTGTTCAAACTCTCTTCTTTTCTCTAAACTTTTCTCACTTCTTCTTTGTACTATTACCTGTTCTTCTACATTTGTTTTACTTGTTGTTTCCATTTCTTGTTTTCTTATTTTTGACTATTGTAGTTTGTTGTTATAGTAATATATTGAGAACTTTAGACTACTTACCTTGTCTTTTTCTTTATTAAAATAAACTGTTGCACTTCCTATCTTGTTATTATTTGAGTTTTTAAATATATGGAGTACTTTCACTCCTGTTTTCTTAACTTGTCTCTATAAGAGTACTTCATTTGTATTTTTAGGTAAATTTAGCAACTTTAGACTATATTTGCTTCTTTCGTAAAGCATATTCTAGTTATTAGTACCTGGTGTTATTCTTACTAGAAGTTAATCTATAAATAATAAGTACTAAGTTTTTTCTATTTTCTTCTCATCGTACGTTCCTAATTTGAATTTGACTTCTGCTCTTGTCTTGTCATATATAGTTCTTATTATTTTTATATGCTCAACCCTTCTCATGAAGTATACTGTTTCAAATACTTGAGTTCTTTTCATCTAAGTTGGCAGATCCCAAATTGTTATCTTGTTATTATTTTCTTCTAATTGTTTTTTTTTTTTTTTTTTATTAAGGCGGCTTACATTGCTGAAGGAATTTTATTAGAATTGCATATAGGATATATATTGATAATCCCTACTATTTGTAATTATATGAAGAGTGTACAACAAGCCATACGTACAACTTTAGTCATTGTTTAATTTAAGTAGTCCACTACACAGGTAATTAGACCACCTGATTGGTTTTACACTATGTTGCCATATCTGTAACCTGTCTATGAGTTACCTATTTAAACACTCTGTTTATTAATCCATACAGATCTAACCTAATATCACTACAACACCTAACTACTTAAGCCAGCTAGCTCATTACAGATCTATTTATTTAGAATGGCTTAGGTCTTCTCAGGATACATTGTACCTAACATATTGTAGATACTGCAGAGCCAGTTAACCTCGAAGTATACCTACTAGAGTAGTCTGTATCTATTTTACGGATTCATCTAGCTTAGACCTTTGTAGATGTTTATACAACCCTAGTTCTTACTGTAGCTTTTCACCAGTTTTCTGTATCTATCTTCTTAGATGTTTTACGAGGCAGATCCTCCCAATCCAGTTAGCCACCAAGCCAAGTTGGTATTACCAATTCTCCCTGTAGAATGGATTTATGCGTACCTGACTTGATCTGCATTTTTCATCGATAGTTTCCTTTTTGAATCAAGCGTTAGCCAGTGTGACTGTCAAAAGCCGTACTACTTCACCAACTTAGAATTTCTACTATACAGGTCCTCTGCCTATAGATCCTATCAAGATTTATTCATGTAATATTATATCTCGCCAAATGCCTCATCACACTTCCAATATCCGAATAATATTAATGCAACATGATTTATAGGGTTACAACTTCAGAAACGAACAGGGTTTACTGTAAGTTGAGTACAAAGGTTCAGGTAATTATTCAAATTCATTGACAGTAGAATTTGAACCTCAGACCTCTTGCATGGTGGTCTGGCAACCTAACTACTACACTAAGATTGCCAAACCTTATTTTCTTCTAATTGTAATACTCCTTCATTGTCTTGTTTCGATGTATTTTTGTCTTTTCTTAAAGGTTCTTACTGTTTAATTATTTCTTTGTTTTTTTCTTCTCTTTGTTTGAAAATTTCTTCTAATTCTCTCACTGCTTGGTTTTCTCTTTTAATTCTTCTTTTATAATCTTCATCTTTTTTCTTGTAATTTTCTTACATTGATTTGTTTATCTTTTCTTCCACCTCTTCTTCTACTATAAATTTAGCTTGCTTGTATTTCTCTTTTTTATTTTCTAGTATAAATCTTGCTTCTTTATAGCTTTTTTGGCAATAAAACCTAATAATACACCAAAGATTCCCTTTCTCAAATCTTTCGCTTATATCTTTGATATGTACATTCCTTCCCATAGACTACTTTAGAGACTTTTTTCTATATTCTTCGTTATCTTTTAGAACTTTGATAGCTGCTACTTTTGCCTTTATATTTTTTTTTTCTTTATATCTATCTTTACTAGGTACTCATATACTTTCTTCAAGTGATGTATTTATTGCATCTTCTATTATATCTTTTCTATTTCTTTTGCATAGATATTCTGTTCAGTCTTCTTTCATTTTATTCTCTATTTCCATCATATCTTTGTTTGTTTCTTTCTCATTTGTTATATTTATTTATTCTTTTTGTCTAGTCTCTAATTCTTCTATTCCTTCTGCTTCTTCTTGACTATCTAACTTATTTGCTATCTGCATCTCTTCTTTTGTTATTTCTATTTCTACTTTATCTATAATTTTGGTGATTTCTATCTGCATATTTTCTTCTTATGACAAAATAATTTCTTTATTTTCATTTTTTCTCTCATTAGTTACAATACTTATATTTACTCGTTCGATTATCTTTTTGATATTTTTTATTCTTTCATGCATTACTGCTCTTTCTAATACACTTTTTCATTCTCTAGCTACTGTAACTATTTTACTTTTTACATCTAAAATTTTAGCTATCATTTTATTGACATAGCTTTCAAATCCTTTTACTGAATTACTACTCCTATCAAAGA